TCTGACAGAGGTTCTCAGTTCACCTCTTCTGTCTGGACCGGAGTTTGCTCTACCTTGGGAATCTCAACCTCTTCTACAACCTCCTTCCATCCTCAGAGTAATGGTGTGGTCGAAAGGTTCCACAGAAGTCTGAAATCTTCTCTTCGAGCAAGATTAGCAAATTCTGATTGGGTTTCTCATCTTCCTATGGTTCTCCTGGGTTTGAGAGCCACTCCGAAAGATGACACCGGCCTCTCCGTATCCGAGGCTGTTTACAGTGGTCCTTTGACTCTTCCTGGCGAACTTGTAAATGTTCCTGAGCTGCTTCCTGAAACTTTCCTCAGGAAGGTCAACAGAGCTGTTGAGGGTTTCGCCGTTCCTCCGCCTCATCATGTTCGTCGTGTTCCTCCAGTCCAACTACCTGCGGCTCTCATCTCAGCTAAATACGTCTTTGTTCGTGAAGATTCAGCTATATCATCATTAGCACCGCGTTACCGAGGACCCTATTTGGTGATTGACAAGAGAGACAAGTACTTCCCCCTCCAGGTGGGTTCGAAACAGGATGTAGTATCTGTTGATTGCCTGAAGCCTGTGTTCAGCGATACTCCTGTTACTACTGCGCTTCCTCCGCCTCGAGGAAGACCCAGGCTTAACCCAGCACCTGCTCCTTCAACTACTCCGCCTCTGTCCGCCGCCAAGTCTTCTAAGAAGGTTAGGTTTCTACTCAATCCTCAAGTTGTTCCGCCTTCTATTCCTCTACGACGGAACCCTCACAGATCCGCAAGAGATAGAAGGATCTGCTCCGCCATTTCTCCGCCGTTCCTTCTGGGGGGACTACTGTGGCGGATATGAAAGTCGTCTTCCAGAAATATCTTCTAGAGAAATCCAAGGGGGCGTTTACAGGATCAGCTGAGTTGAATCATGTGATAGATTTATATATTTTACTTTATAGATTTAAGATTTAAAATAAAGTTAATCGTTTGGAAACTCTTATCCTTTAAAGTTATAGCACGCCAAATTGGTGACCCCGGACTTTTTGAATACGTTTTCTAAAGTTCTGCAGCAAAGCAACCCACAGTGTTGTGTTTTTTATTTTTCCTTGTCACTAGTGTTCTCGGCTGAAAAGTGATTCTGCCTCCCTGTTTTTTCCACAGGCTCTCACAGTAAGCGAAGCCTAGTTCGACGGTGATATTTTCTTTTTCAGCGTCTAGATGCCTGGAGACCCAGTTTTGACCACGGGCGCTGTTAGCCAGCCGGAGCCTTCTCAGTCCAGTCATCTTTACGCAGTTGCCCTGAAGCTGCCTACTTTCTGGCCTGACAGTTGTGAGTCCTGGTTTATCAACGCTGAGTCTCAGTTCCATTTAAAAGGCATTACCAGCAGCGTTACCAAGTTCCACCACGTCGTTGCATCGGTTCCTCAGAATGAAATCGATAATGTGGTTGACATAATCAGGAATCCGTCAGCAACAGATCCTTATGGTGTGCTCATAGCTCGCCTCCTTCAAACAGATTCCTTGACGGATTACGCTCGGTGTGAATCAATCATGTCACTTCCCTTATCTGGAGACATGTTACCCTCAGCTTTGTTGTCCAGGATGAGAGCGCTCCTTCCTATCGAGCATCAAGACTGCCTGTTCCTTCGCTATGCTTTCCTGAAACAACTCCCAGCTGACGTCAGGTCCCATCTAGTTCACGATAAAACCGTTGATATTTCCATCCTTGCTCAACGTGCTGATGAGATCTACTAGAGCAGTTTATCTTCAAATTCAGTGGTAAATGCTGTGGATTCCGTTCATGCTGTGAGTACTCATCCTTCAAGGCAGAACCGCCGCTCCCAGCGTTCCCATAGAGTTTCTAGCCCAGTTACCCGCCGATCGCAGACTCCAGCAGCTTCCTCCCGCCGTTCCTCTTCCACGTCTACTTGCTGGTATCACGCCAGGTTTGGATCCAAGGCTCTCAGTTGTCAAGCTCCATGTACCTGGTCAGGAAACTAGAATGCCGGCAGGAGGATGCGTTTTCCCTGCCTGCCGGTTCAGCTGGTTCCTCTCTCATTTATCTTCATGACGAACTCTCTAATTGCCGTTTCCTGGTTGACACCGGTGCCTCTATATCTGTTTTTCCATCTCCTTCTTCAAACTCTTCCTCTGGCATTCGTTTGCTCACGGCTGATGGATCAACTGTAACCTGCTCCGAGTCCAGAACTATACCTCTTGGAACTTGGAGTTGTTCCTGGACGTTCCAGCTAGCACCAGTATCCGTTCCTAT